TGCAACATACATATAGATATTTCATAGCTGATTTCTTGTATCTTTTTTTTTATTGTATTACTCTGTCTGTAAATGTATATGTATGTTGAAGAAAAAAAAAAACGCATTATCTATCTATAAAAACAAATTATAATGTGGGTGAGAAAACTCGGTTATTACTACGTAGTAAGTATCTGAGTTTTATTATATCGTAAAATCGGAACAAAGACAAAAACAAACAAATATAATATATTTTACACCAATGCAGGATGAAAGTCATAAAATTTGAATGTAACACTTCTTCAATATCTCATAGTAGGACCCCAACCATTGTACAAAAATGTCCGTTTGGTTAACTGCACAGAGCTGGTTAACTGTAAGCAATGCTGCATACAACGTCGAGTGTAACGATAACTATTGAACGAGTCAACAACAGACGAAAACTGGTTAAGGAATAGGTACTCCAATGGTCACTTTCAAATTTTGAACTGTATTCTAAACTAATATTATAATGAGAAAGGCTTTGCTACAAACAAACTCAAAAACTATTGGACCGATTTCTAAAATTCTTTCACCATTAGAAAGCCTTATTATTCCTGAGACAAACAAATATTTTTTTTAAGCGATGAAATAAATGTAACCTGTGCAAAGCCGGAGCAAATCGCTAGTTAAAAAGGTAATATGCTAGAGTTTGTATGGACCTATTTCACTTGCCAAATAATAGAAGACTAGCAAACCAGTGAACCAAATGTTCACCAAAACCTGATTTAAAAAAAAAATGTATTTAATTAATTGAGAACTTCGGAGATTTTGTGTGGTTTCGTTTGAAATTCGTGATATCTCGAAAACCGGAAGTGCTACGTTACTCAAATCCGGTTTGTAGTCTTATCAGACTATTCTTAACTTATAACTTAAATATTCTCTTTATCTATCTCTTACGGTTTGGCCGCTGAAACAGCACCACAGACAGACGGACGGACTTGTCTAATAGATAAGAGATGCTTAAAAAAATCGAACATTTGAATTCCTTCTAAATTCAATCTGACATAATAACGTAAATCTATGAATGATCTGTCAGAAAAGGCTGGCTGTTTCTTTTTTATTTTAATGAGTGATGTAAAAAAGAGGTTTTCGGTCACATTAAATTAACCTCATTTTAAAGCAAGGTTGTATAAAAATTTGGTATGCTGCTCGTAGAGTATAATAGGTAAATTATTATATAACTAAACAATTTAAGACAAATATTTTAAAATTTAAAGCATAATGCGTGCCCGATTACGGTAACAGCATAAGTAGGCAGAGGAGGCCCAAATCTGATATTTTTTATATAATAATTCGTTAGAAATACATAGGTATAATCATTATTTAAATGAATTACGTTTATAGCCTGCGTTTCGTGTCTATAATATACTAATGATTTAAGAGAAGTCAACTCTTTTATCTGACCTCAAAAACGTATTTCAAACTTAAAATGGTCCAATTTTAGTCAATATTCGACCATTATACTCTATGAACTTTCTATGACACAAAATTTGAAATAGGTCGAATTTTACAAGCATTTAAAGCCGCATTGATTTGCTCAAAATCTGCTTTGACAAAGAAGCTTTGTTTAATAACTACTTTTACGCTACTTTGATTGATCGCGTGAAACAGTAATCACAGCGCACTTTCATGTTGGCGTCCAAAGTCAAAGTTGGACCGTACTCAACTTTCGTCAAAGCTACTTTGTCAAACTTGACTTTGAATAAGTCATCTCGGCTTTACGTCCGAATCCGATACGCGCGCTTAGTTTTCATCATGGACCAATAATATATATACTACTTTGTCAAAGCAGACTTTGAGCATGTCAAGGAGGCTTAATTGGAAAAAGTGAAATTAAAGAGACCAAAGACTGTAGCTATTGCCAAACTTTGAACGCATTATAATACTACTAAATTGAATAGTAGTGATCAAGCAAATAATTTACCACATTTGCTACGGCCATCTGTACTCTTAGTCCAGTCAGTATTGTCGCGAAATCCGTTTTTCCTCAAACAGCTGGAACTATGCTAAAAAGTTTCTTAAGATAGTAAAGAACACTTTACATAGAGAAAAAAATGTTTCCAACCCCGGGCAAGGGTGAAAACCACCCTTAATAATCTATTTTTCCAATTATCTCAAAAAGTATACGAGATACGGAAAAAAACTTCAAATGAAAATTGTAGATCTTTTTGAAATCTACAAAACATTATTCCACCCTCTTGCCCCTATTTTCAATAGGGGAGCCAATAATCGAAGTCAAAGATTCAATACTTAAAAAGTTAAAGTTAGTTAAAAAAGTTATCTTTGACTTCGATTATTGGCTCCCCTATTGAAAATAGGGGCAAGAGGGTGGAATAATGTTTTGTAGATTTCAAAAAGATCTACAATTTTCATTTGAAGTTTTTTTCCGTATCTCGTATACTTTTTGAGATAATTGGAAAAATAGATTATTAAGGGTGGTTTTCACCCTTGCCCGGGGTTGGAAACATTTTTTTCTCTATGTAAAGTGTTCTTTACTATCTTAAGAAACTTTTTAGCATAGTTCCAGCTGTTTGAGGAAAAACGGATTTCGCGACAATACTGACTGGACTATCTCTTTAAAAAATGTTCTAGAAACATTGGTTTATGTGTTACATTTGGCTCAGAGCAAATTTAATACAGTATAGTTACCAATTATGCCTTCTATGATTTCCTATTTCTTCCTGTCTGTCTCGTGCTATACGATTAAATGTTTACTTAGACATCGCAAATAAATTCGAAAACAATCCACCGCTAATCTAATCTTTTTAAGTATATTATCACTATTAACGATAATTTTAATCCTTTAAATGTAAATAATACCGATAAACAACATTATCACGATAAAATTTGGAAGATAATTATAATTCTTATTATTAAAAAAAAACACATATTTCATTTGCGTAATATTGGATACCTACATTTTAATTATATCCATAATTTGTTTTGGAATATATAAAAAAAAATGTATTGAAGCATTAAATAAAAAAATATACTCTACCACAAAAAAACGGTTAACTTAGAATTCTGATACGATTTTCTCAAAAAGTGCTATCATAGTTATACCTACAGAAAGTGCGGCTGATGATGATTAAGGGCCTATTTTTCAAAACTCGGATAAAACTTAACTGATCATTAAATGAATACCCAATCAAATAGAGAGATGTCATCCGTCACATAACATTACACCAATTTACACAAGTCAACTCTTTATTTTGTCCGTATAGGTAATAAGATATCAGACAGATAAATTTTATCCAGTGTTCGAGAAATCAGCCCTTAAATGAGTAATAATTTAATTCATATATTTCCAATACTCACACATCAAAGGAAGCACTGTAAGGCTTGTGCAATGGGAAAGATAAGTTATTTTTCAAGACATTATTATAAACAGCCCTGACTTAGGTACAAATGCTCGTATTCATCATACAAAAATTTGCCCCACCGGGATTCTGGTCCTGGAGCTCTGTGTAGGTGACACCTTGAAAATTGGTGTACCTACCACTCCACCAAGAATGAAAGAGTTCGTCATTATTATTAAGTGCAACATTCCTTATTTTTTGCTTAAGAATACCTCCTATTCTTAAGCCAAAAATAAGGAAGTTTCCAAAGGCACTACCTGTCAATATTGTTCCCTAACAACAAATTATGCATGCTAAAATGCCTTTGCCATTTGTTACTACTGTAAGTAAAACAGACCGAAGTCTGCGGTTTTTTTCTATACAATACATACCACCCTATCTGATATTAAATAGAAGTGAATTTCAGTAGTGAAGATCACAATTCAGTATGTTAATTTAAGCATACTGTATGTTGTTAAGGACCTAAAACATGGCTTGTAAAATTACAAATAAAATAATCCTAAATAACGTTCCTGTTTGAACATTTAGGATTATTTTATTTGTGATTTTACAAGCCATGTTTTAGGTCCTTAACAACAGATACTATACCTAAATTAATAAACTGAATTATGAGCAAACAATATTACATATTTATCGACATTAATATTTACCATTATTCATTTATTTTAATCCCGAAGCGTGTTACATCATTCAGCATTAGGTGGATAGAGGATGTAGTAGGTGGTGTTAAAAACTTAAATTGTCTCAAGATCAATAAAAACAGAACACATTATTTTAGTCAATAATTAATGCACTAGCACTATGCATCCATGCCAAGTGGCGGCAAGTTACTAATCCCTTATTAACAGTAACAACTTCGTAATGGTAGGGTTCACTTCGGCAGCCAATTAAAAAACCGCAAGAGAAACCGCATTTACTTAAAATGTTACTGACGTCTAATAATATACTTAATAAATCATAGTTCAGACATTACTCGTAACGGTAACTCATTAACAGAATGTGTTTACCGCAAACAGTTAAATTGTCCTATAAATTTCGGAACTTTGGTAATTACAATAACATAAATAACTCGATGAAAGGGCAATGTTAAAGTTTATTCGAATGAAGAACTATAAAATTAAAATAATAACTACCAAAGACATAAGAAAACATATTTTTGATCACATTAAAAAAACCCTAACGCAATATAGCAATATACCTAGGTACTGCTTAATCAATTATTTATGTAGAAAAACTTCCTAAGGAAATTATATACATCTTAAAGAAATCAATGACTCATTGGTTATCTCAGAAAAACCGCAAAGTACAGACGCCGGCAGAAATCGTAATGAAATGTAAACAACGACCAGCAAGTTCAAGCGCAATCCTCTACAAAAACAATTACACGTGAAACATTACTATCAGCGACAGTAAAATTAACATTTCAAGCGAAAACTCGTAAAGCGTTTACAGCTAAACATTAAACGTCCCTTACTTGCCTCTCCTTAATTAGAAATTAGATTGGTTGTTAAAACAAAACACGAGATGTAAGTGCCAGCAACACTTATAGAAAAAAAGACCACCGAGCCTAAACAATGCTCCCATACAAACGGATCGTATGCACATTTCAAAATCACTCACCATGCAACTCAGCATCTGGATGGACCAAGATAGCGATTTCAAAACACTGCAACACTGTTTAGTTTTCTGACAAACTTTATCACAAAAATTCGGATTATTTCAAAAACCGGCCCGAAATCACTTCCTTGTGTAACTCCGAAAAACCGAGTATTTTTTATTCGTATTTTCGATCGACGCGTGCGCGAGAGTAACGCGTGCCGTTCAATGGCAGCCTGCTCACAATACTGATCGCCGACTGAATGCGCCGGCGCGGCCCCTCTGTTTACTACACCATGTGCAAGCTTATCAGACGCTTTAGTCGAAATATGAACTTTAAACCCTCAAAAATAGAGTACCATCTCGGACGGCTACTTAAATTCTTATCTGTGTTAGTAAGTCGGACACATGTATTTGTCATCCAGATGAATGAAATATAAACTCTACGCATAGAGCTTTTACTCTCCGCGTTCATAATAACCTTAATTAATATTTATTACCGCACGATATGTTTGAGTCCTTGCTTAGTTTTTTCGTTCTCATGTAACAAGTGATTCACGGTTGTTTATATTCGGGCCTTTTTGATTTTATCGTTAAACTTTAAAAGAGATAAAGTTTCATGGAATGTGAGGGAGTATTGTAAGATTTCGTTTACCGATTCAAACTATGCCATATGAGTAAATAATCCACTTCTCTTACTCGGAAGTGATCTCATGGCATTATTCCAAAGTACAATGGCATCATTTAAAACATCCACTCAAAAGTCTCATTATTTTCGACTCATTAATGCAGGTGGGTGTATTGACATTTGATTTGAGTCGATGTTCAACGACTAAAATACAGAGAATTCCACAAATAGATCGATGAACAAAATTAGATCTCAATTATGTCAGTTCAGTAACCTCCGGTTTTCCTCTTGTATCATTTTCTGTAGAGTTTTTTGACGCTGTTTTTCTAGTTCCTACAAATTTCTGTAGTAAATATAAATATTCCAAACATTATAAAAAACTAAATAGAATATTTTTGGTATGAGCCGATACATCAAAGTTCAAATTCCATAAAATTACAAATACCGTAGAATGCACTCTGATTTATACCTATTATTTTCGGTAAACCAACCGTGAGTCCATTAAAGCAACAAATTTAAACTTTGTTGTTCTAAGAATAAAGTCCATAACTGAGTCTCTTTTGTAACATATAGAATCTTTTGTCATATCCCAGTTCTTTGAAAAGATTGAATATGTCATATTTTATTGTTGAGCTCTGAATGGATATAATTTGGTAGGCCCGAATTATGTCACGTAATCGTGCTAAATTTATAAACCCCAAGCAGGAGGATCGTAATATTGAATGCCTCTGGTGATTGTTATTTGATAAGTTTATTACTATGCACTGCGCATCTACACGAAAGATATTGCGGCTAAGATAAGGAAAAATAGTAAAGAATTTCTTAAGCTGTGACGGGGATTTACAAAACATGAATTAGGTGCTTTCACTTTCTCGAAGGACCAATTATACCTATCACCTTTTCGGATTTTTTATTGAATATTCATAGATACAAATACATATTGAGCACCTACAGCTTTTCTCTACAACAACTTAAAAACCTAACTCGTTAAACAAGCAAGGAGTAGAACATAATTTTTGGCTAGAAATTTGTAACTGACATAGGTAATTATATATTTTATCACTTTTACTCCTATATTAGAAAGTAATAGAGTTAAATAAGTTACTATTTAATTACTTAAACTACATTCCAAACTGAAATAACCCAATAACCTAAATAAATGTAGATAGATATTTAGGGCTGTAAGACAAATAATTCCTTGTTCCATCCAGTCCAGGAATTTTGGAATTCAATTGCAAAGACAGTCAAAATTGCATCCACCTAAATCCTGCCTTTATGCGACAGAGCTCCAAAATTAAACTCACTACAGAAACATCAATTATAACATTGGCAAATTAGATATAATTTGTGTGTTTTCCCATTTTATTAAGTATCGACTAATTGGCTAAGAGAGTGTAGGACGTAATAAAACCTCATAAGTCGAAGAAATTTAAATAACTTAGGCCGGAGAAAATTATCATTCAAGAACGCCTGCTAGCTGAGTTTTCTACGCAACTCGTGACACCAGAATTTAATAAATCTATAGGACAAGACTTCCTATTCAGTTGGCTATCGTGATCGATGAATACCTCTGTAGTCGAGAGGGTTGTAACACCGGTTTTTATCGTATCGACAATTCTCAGATTCCTAGTTTGATCCTCCATCGAGACAAATGACTAAATTACTACATTGAAATCGGCCGGTGTTTATTACCCTCCGATTTCTGTAATATTCCCCATCTCCCTATTCCATCCATAGGGAAGGTCTGTGCCCCAGCAGTGGGGACATTAATAGGCTGATGATGATGATTTCTATAACACAAGTATTTCAGCTATATCTTTAAAGTAATATTTTAAAACGGCATCAGTCTTTGGCAATACTTAACAGGCAACCCTTTGGTTTGAAAGATGATAAGAAACATCTAATATATGTATTGAGGAAAGTTCAACTTTTTCTTTAGCTATTATCGCGATATGATAACTGCAAATTTATAGTGTCACAAATAAAACAATTAATTAAATATGTATTAGTCATTCGATATATTAACATATAATCATTTATATTCATCCATATAAAGGTTAATATTTTTAAAATAGCGTTAGCATAGGTCGTTAAAGTTATAATTTTAATGTACTCGTAATTAATGCGTTGTAATAAGATTGGCATGCTATTGTAGATGGCAAAAATGACCTTTGTAATTGTTAAATCTCTAGTGTATCATTCTAATGCAAATAAATAAATTCTAATTCTTAATAATATGAAAAGACAACATAAAAATGAATAAGTATGAGCAAATAATAATGTACATGTAAAACTAATACCTAAAAACACTTGCCCCTTATAAATAAACGAAGAATTAGCTTGAATTAGTTACTCCATGTTTTGTTTCTGTTCATTGATTGACAAACGGCATTTGAGTGATGATATAAACAAAGCACGGCGTAACTAGTCTGAGCTTATTCCTCGGTTATTAAAAAACGAGTGTAATTATAACCACACGACTGAAGTGAAACTTCTTTAGCTCCATCTGTACGTATATTTAAGTGTAAGTGTACAATATATACATGTATGTACATATACATACTTCATTTACTAGCTATAAAAGAAAGGGAGAAAGAAAATGAGCGCGCGCTGCTTTCTCTTGCTTAGATCCCACACTCAACTCCCGTTCGCCTCGCCCGAACACACTTTTCCTAACGCGTAACCAGTGTTGCCAATTACTAGCATTGCCCAGTTGCTAGACATCTTACAAAATGTTGTTAGATTGTCAGTTTTTATTACCGAAAAAGTTGCTAGAAATAGCTAAATCTTCCAGTAGGTAAAAAAGATACTATATTACAAGAAGGGATATCAACACTGACCGTAGATGCATAAAATGTGGTTGAAACCTTTATTTTAAAAAGAAAATGTTAAAAACTAAAATTATCATACTAATTTTTCCCGTCGCAAAAGTCTACTTTCAACAAAACGAGATTTAAATTCACGTACCCGTTTGGAACTCTACTTTCTGTCTAAGTTTTTTGTCCTAGTATGTTTCTTTATGACCAATAGCTTAAAAAAAGAATTTCCGTAGAACAATCAGTACGGGTTGGACTTTGAATCGAGTCGCCTGAATCTGGAAGCTCCATAAAAGGCGACAAAGAGTTTTGTACTAATGGTAAAAATTTTGAATCGTTTTTACCATTAGTACAAAACTCTTTGCTTGAGTCTCAACTTGCTGCTTTTAACCAACCTGTCTGTATTTCTGTGCGTATGTTTTTTTTTCCATTAAATCCATTTTCACATTAAATTAAAACAGCGAGCATAAGTTTTATATGGATAAAACAAAAAAACACTGGGTAGAATACGAGTGGTGCGTACTACTTTGGTTTAGTAAATAAGTACCCACGTTCTGTCATAGTGCATTCTGTCGTAGCGCAACATTAAATGGGGAATTCCCGAAAAAGGCCGACCTGCGACCGATACCATACTATCTTTAATTTATATAGAGTCACTTCAGTTTTTAGTTTTTCGTTAAAGATTTGGTACCCTACTTACTCTATGAATCTCTCATGAAAAGTTGCTAGGAAAAAATAGCTAAATAGTTTAGCTACAAATTTTATTAAATTGTACCTGTGTGATACCAAATAATAGGTAGATCTAGCTATAAAGTTGCTAAGTTGGCATCACTGCGCGTAACGCATTCATCAGCTTACCCCCTAAGTCAAGCTTGCGTAGAGAAGTTTCACTTCAATAAGGGGGTTTATGTCTTAGTAAAAGAAGACAGTTAATGATTAATTTGCCCACATCAGGGTGTGAAGCGCAGGATACAGACAGAAATGATGACGTCAATGTCGACATCAAGGCCTTTTCTTAAAAATGTCGTTATTCTTCATAGCCTCTTTTAATAAAAAAAAGTGACTACAGCTGAATGAATCACTACCAAAGCGTTCCACATCATTGGCGATGTAGAGGTCACTAGCATCAAGCTTCTTTAATCACATAGAGAGGGCTTGTATTCTTACATTGTAATTATTTTAATTTGTGTTTTTACTGTAAAATAGTTAGTACAGTGTGTATAATAAAGATACATCATCATTATCATCAGCCCATTTATGTTCCCACTGCTGGGGCATAGTTCTTTCCTATTCGTTCGCAGACCAAATACGCTTTCAAACTTCACGTTACAACAATTACGTTTTTTTGATTGAATATAGTAATGAAGGAAAATGCAAAGCTCAGTGGCGCAGATAATAAGCACATTCGCCCTGCAATCTCAGGAGTTATTCTCTCTTATCCTACCCTCCCCTTTCCTTCAGAGGACCACGCGCGCTGGCCTACGTTGTCACCGTCTAACTGTGGCCACAATTCCAACGCGAAACGAAACGAAATTTGGTGACACATTTCTTTGTCGCACTATCCGTAAATGGAATGCTCTGCCCGCTCACGTATTCCGTCCCTCTTACAACCTGGGATCCTTTAAATGAGACGTGAAGAAGCAACATGCAGGCCGGCAGGGTGAGGATGGCTGGTATGGCAGGTACAACTGCTGTATCAGCTATCTTCTCGTCTGGACTTCACCTTCACTTAACATCAGACAGGGTGGAGTAATTTGTCGGACCTATCTGTAAAAAAAAACGAGAAAATTAAGCAACGTTTGGAACGGTTGGTC